AATTTTTGTGTGTATGTGTGTGTGCGTGTGTGTCTTGGGTTCTTCTACGTCCTCGCCCTCATATTTCTTTCCAACATTTTAAGATTTTATGCTAACATGGGAATTATAGGTCAGTTAAGTATCTATATGAAATATGAGTCTGTTCAGGATGATGACAATGTTTCTTACTTTCTTAATCTGTTCCTGACTAAACCTCTTAACCTTAACATTGGTGTATTTCTTATACTGAATCCTTAGTGTTTTTTCTAGCTGGAAAAATTCGAAATGAGCCAGTTAGTTTGTTAGTATGTCAATGGTGGAGGTGCTTGATTTGTTGCAATTGTTTCCAATATCTGTCAAAGATCCTGAAAACTGAATTTGCCTTACGTAAAGTTGCTAGAGTACGATTAACCTCTGGATTTATGTGGATAAAGTTTATTGAGCCAATGGAGGAAAGTTCTTCCGATTAGGATCTTTTCATATGGTTAGGATCAGTCTAATTCCTTCTCTTCTGCGATCTGTTTCGCTGTTACAGAGCTCATTGGTTAAACTTTTGAATGATGATAGATGGGTTTTTTCTAGGCATCTATTCAACTTTGGTTCTCTATATATTCTGAACAGCCTGAACTTAATATTTGCCTAGATTACGATTATTTAGAGTCTATAGCAGTTGAGACGAGGCCTTTAGTAGTGTCAAATACCAAAATATATTTTCATGGCAAACAAGGGTTTTAAGGGAATTAATATTAAAGGTTTTGTTGAATTTCTGAGGAAATTAATCTAGTTGATTTTGAACTACTATTTTGCTAAACTAATTGCATTTATTTCAAATTGGTATGTTTATGTCAGTGCCGTGATGTGAAATAAATTGTGCTTACATTTCATATGATTGCCAATACACAATAGGTAGTTGCAGTAAATTAACATGATTTTGGTTATTCTGATATGTTATATGGATTAAGATTTTTTTTTTTTTTTTTGGTGATTTGTTGCAGATAATTCTGTGGTTAATTTTATGGTGGAAACCCATCCGCATACTGATGATTTTATCCAAGATGTTCTTTGCAGGTTTGTCTTTAAACTTTGGCTGAGTGTGATGTTTTTTTCTCATTTTTATTTCTTCCAGTATGCTAAAGAATCTTGCCATCTAGCAGGTGTATCTTTATTTGCGGCCTTGGGGTTTCTTCTCTATGGTGGAAGGTAACTAAATTGCTCCCATTTGATATTGACCAATTCATACTGAAAATATGACTTCTTTTTTACCTGTCCGTACTGTAAGTCCCTGTCCATAAGCAGTAGGCCTTTTATGAGAAGATGCTTACACAATGGTTTTTGATTTTATAACTTACCAGATGAAGCTGTACCCTTTTAATTTTCTCATGCGACCCGTAAAGTACTTGTTAGCTGATGTGGCATGCCATCTTATCTTTTGTTATTTTGTGTATGTTTGGATGCACTTTTGTAATGGACTTTTGACTATAAAAGTCTATTTACTATATAAAAAGATGTTTGGTGTAGATAACAAAATGGACTTTTAAAAAAGTAACTCCCACAAAAAGTCCATTTCAAAGAAGTTTATATTGAAAACTTCTTGAGAAGTCACTTTTCAAAAAGTCCATCTTGAGATGGACTTCTGAATAAGTGTTTCCAAACAAGCCCTTTATTTGTTCAAGTGGATGATCTGTTACTGCTGTATGCAAAGCCCTATATCAGCCGACACAATTATTATTCAATTTCCCTACACTAGAAACAATGACCTGTAGGTTTATGTGAATCGTGATTTGTGAACAGGCTTTTCTTAATGCTACAAAGATTCCCGGTGGAATCAAAAGGACGACGCAAGAAGCTACAGGAGGTATGCTTAAAACCGATTACTCCATTTCATCTTCATGTGTTTGGTTATATATCATCATTGGCTTTCTTCATCTATTGTTTTCAACAGGTTGGCTATGTGACCACAATATGTTTTTCGTGTTTCCTCATTAGATGCGTTATGGTAAGTTCAATTATATCCATTGTCTACTCTGAGGATATACTTAATAAAGAATGTTGAATATTTCTTGGAATCTGATACGCGAAATCATATATTGATCATAAGGTTTATTTGTAAACACCATTGACTTGCTGACTTTGGTTTGGATTACTGGAAAAATAACTGTAGTACTTGTCAATTTACATGACTTGTATATCCTGATCAGTTCAATAGAAATTGCCTGCATTCTGGATAAAGGGCACAATATGAATTTGGAGTGAGAACTTTGACAAGTTACCTTAAACCAGAGTCTGCCCATTTAGGTCATCGTAAAATGGAGAGATGTAATTGTAATTGTAATTGTAATTGTTCTCCTATATAATTTGATATGCACTTGACACATAAACCTTTAAACTTTACGGGGCAACACTATGATACCTTCTCTTTTTTCTAGACTCTTGTCGCATAACTGAAACCATGAAATATCTTACAGATGTGCTTTAATGCATTTGAGGCGGCTGCGGATCTTGATGTCTTGGATCATCCTATCCTGAATTTTATTTATTATTTGGTACGTTCATAAAAAGCTGACATTTCGAGGATGTGATATTGAAACTTGAGATTGATATATAATTGTGTTTGTCCTTATTGTTTAGTTAGTGGAGATCTTGCCTTCATCTCTCGTTCTCTTCATCTTGAGGAAATTGCCCCCGAAGCGTGGGATCACACAATATCATCCAATCAGGTGATGGATATTATATAATAGGCAAATCATGCATTGCATTTGGGATCGATATCAACTTTCATCCTCAAGTGGAAGTCCCTGAAATGAGAAGAACCCATGGTGTTTTTGTGAGCAAGGCCAGCTTACAGTGTCCTTTATTTTACTTTACTTTACTTTACACTTTTATTTGTTTATTTTTTGGTTTATGTGATAGAGTGAAGTTGTGTTCATATAAGTTGCATTGTAGTTGAAAATATAAAGTACGTGTGGTCTTTTGTGGTCGGACTTGTTCGTTTCTTTCTTTCTTTTATTTTTTTTTCTTCTCTCTCTCTCTCTCAAAATTAGCCAAGGCTAAGAAATTGAACTGCTAAAATCTGGCACGTTTAAACGAGAGAGAGAGACCAATAAACAATAATAATAATAAAAAAAACTGAAACCAAAAATAGCAGAGATTTTCAGAAGAGAAAGAGACCCCAACAGTCCATGAGAGACATTACAACTTCGCTAAAACAAACACAAGACATCTAACAAGACAATGAAATCGAAACTACCGCGAGACATTTAACAAGACTATAAGATCACCAAAGCACAAAAAATATGCTCCGCCTACCCAGTTACCTAGTTCTTAAATTATTGTTCGATTTATGTTGACATCTTCTCCACCAATTCAGTTCATCAATCCTATGACTATAGTTCAACTTGCACCGCCATCTTCTCTACTTATTCAGATTGTCAATCCTAATTTTATTGTGTGATTGTAACATGAACCTAGGGGTGGCACGGTCCGGGACAGTACATGATTTGTATTGTCTTGCTTTTATAAACAGGTTAGGAATGGTTCGGGATGTGATAGTGTTCCGAATATTCAAAATGGGACCAAACTATATAGATTCGAAACAAAAGAAAAAAAATAAAGAAAAGAAATTACTAACATGAGTTTGGACCATGTCCACAATATTTGTTTTAAAAGAATCAATTCATTATTCATAAAAGAGTGATCATCATAACCAGGACAAATTACGATTTTTTTACGGGAA